TCTTCCATTCGAGATTTGAATCGTCCCAAATGCGCACACATTTCTCCACAATATCCTCAGCATCTGGATATATCTTTTAATACAGCGATCAAAATCCACAGATCAAATCTCATGACCTCAGAAATCAAATTTATCAGAACATACCAATTTTGAATCATTCCAGAGAGATTTCGCAAGCAGCCGTTGTTGTGCAACTCGAAGTAATGAACAACTTGGGTTTCCCTTCACCAAAAGTGCGACTCATCCTTTATCATTCCCTATCTTACGACCCACATTATCCCCCACATCTAGAAATAACGCGTACAACGATAATGAAAATCTATTTAGCACACCCTAATAAGCTAACTTAGTAACACCAGTCCTGATGGATTTCAAAGACAGCTTTAAAGCTAACCCGAGCCTTCTCCAGGACTGCAGAACAATAGAACTCAAGTAGCTATGCACAACCTACAACGACAATTTTGGAACTAATTTTCAGAAAAAGGTACAAATGTATTTATAAGTTGAACATGACATATATGACCCCGCTGTTCAATGCCAGTATTATCACTGAGCTGATTGCGCGAATTTTATTCAAGGTGGCATTTCAAGAAACTCTCTAGGTTATCTTTTGCTACACTTTCATTTGTAACTTTTGAAAATGTAGATCACACATTGCCGAAGTGAGAATATTGATAAAATTCAGTGATAGTTGCACATATGAGGTGTGATTTCGATATGATGGAAGTCTTGTTGGGGAAACCGAAGACATACGTTTTGAAGCGCATGAAAAGCTCTATCAGATTCCGTTCTCAGTTTGAAACTCTTGGAGAACTTTTTTCAGAGATCACCTCGCCGAAGTGAGAATATTGATGAAATACAGTGACGGTATAATGGAAATCTTCTTGAAGAAATGGAAGATATACGTTTTGAAGCGCATGAAAAGCATTATCAGATTCGTTCGCAGTCTGAAGATCTTGAGAAACCTTCAACAGGGATACAGTGATTATGTATGCTGCTAACAAAGTAAATGTTCGTCTGGAATTAGTGATTATTTATGTTGCTAACAAAGTAAATGCTTGTGTGTAATTATTTGGTATTCTTTTGGTGGATCGTGATCTGGTCGAAGTGAATGACACCAAAAAATTCACGATGCTCTTCCCTAAGATTGCTCCCGTCTATTTTCCGGAACTAATAAGCTCTTGCTGCAGTATAGGTGAGGTTCAGTTGATGTGTCTTCACATTCTCACATCACCTTCATCTATTCATGGGTCTTTATGAGTGGAAGCGATCTTCACATCCGCAGTCACGATATAATGTGAGGTTATGAATCGCTCGCATATTGCTACAAATTCAGCCTATTCGATTTTGTTTGCGTACGGGCAAAACCCGATCGTTACAATTCATCTGAACCTGCAGTTTCGTGTCATTGGATTGAATGGAATCTCGAATCAGTCGTCTGTTTCCCGTATCAAGCTTATTCAATCTCTTAAGGTTGATTTAGCTCGGAAAGAGGTGTTAAACTAGTGGATTGTCGTCGTCATCTTGGGAATGGCTTATGTTGTGGCGATATTACCATCACTCGTTGTTATTACTTGGCATGCGTGCGAATTTCGCTCTTTTACTGATCGCTAGCACACGACGAGCCGCAATTCCAGTGCGCTTCTATATCCGATCCACTCAGGCGTTCAGTGCTGCTTTATCTCATCGTTTATCATTTACGTAATCTCGATGTCATCAACTACTATCATTTTTTCTCTTTTACCAGTTATTTTACTGCCTCTGACGTGCGCTTTCTGAATCACCGACGACACTCATCAGTTGTTAACTGTTAACGTTTCAGCAAAATTAACTGCCAAATTACCAAAAACTTTCTCAATAAATAACTCCATGAGCTGCAACCATGCCATTTGAATTAGAGTAGTGTATGCTGAATTCTTAGAAGGAACCACTGGAATGCGAATTTGATGAATAACAACGAATATACACATCAACTAAATTTTATTTTCAGGATCTCAGTCCACCAAGATGTCTATGTTTGGTATGACCGATACGCTTAAAACATTGCTCATTCAAGAGATTTATCAACGTCCACTGATTTGGAAGGTGATTTCCTCCACTCGTTTGTTGTTGTCTTCTCAAGGGTGATCAATTTTGAGCCAGATTCTCAGAAACTTATTATGATCTGTGCAAAATCTGTCTTCTTTAGTCGGCAATTATCGTTACTTATTAAACATCGTTTAGCTCAATTACAAGACGAACTGTGAGTTTTAAGAGCATGTAATGAGCCGAATTCTTACAGTGTTTGATTCTTCCAGTGTATTTTTTACTGTGAATTTCAGCCATCTGATCCGAGATACACCGATGTACCGGCTCGTTGGGTTGCATTTGAAGAGGTTGCGAAAGCACTGAGCAATGAAAAAGTGCAATTCTCAAGTTTGTTTTCATTGAAACTGCAAAATATTTATGTTCCAAATAGCAGTTCTTATGTGTGTAACAAAGTTTGAAAAGAATTTCACTCAAGCAGTTCTGTTGATCTGTTGGAAAGATCAACGAAAATCACTTGAAAATTACGAAATTTGTAAGTGAAGCATTGCATGCGGATCTAGTAAATGCTGAAAGATTGGACGGTGTTATTTAGGCGATATGGTAAAAATGGCATGGAAGAACATGACTGATTACTACAATCACATCAGACGTCGTAACGATCGTGCCCGTGCGGCTGGTCTCACACCACCGCAATCCAAATGGTACTTCTTCAACATGCTGCATTTCATTCGACAAGAAAAGTCACCCGCAAAACGAAAATACAATTGGCTCGAACCATCCAAGGTTTGCTCGTCTCATTTAATTATCAGCGTATTTATGTCGCTAATTTTTGGTACTGAAGTACCCTTCAAACATGGATTAAGCAACCGCTCGAATAATTCTGTTTGTAATCGGTTGATTGCAGATCAAAAGTTCATCATTGAACGGTGATGGGGCGAATGGTTCGATGAATTCAGAGGGCAGTGATGCACTTCCGAGACCCATTGCTATCAGACCGGCGCCTAGTGATTCTGTGGTTGACACATCGCACAGACCTCGTACAAAACAATCTGAAAAGTTCATTTTTATTGGCGATCATTGTTCTTAGTGATAGTTCCCTTGATGAACCTTATATCTTTCGATGGATTTATGCAGCCATTTAGTTTGGTTGTATATTCATTTTATTAGTATGCTCTCATGCCAACGTTAAAATTCGATATGGTTTACTATTGTTTGCGTATCACAACGATATATCATTCTTGAGAAACACATGCCAATATGCTCATTCATTCATATTGATTTATTTTTTACAACTTTAAGAGCTAAATTGCAAGCGAAACGTGAGGCGCTTCGCGATGCCAATTTGAGCACGTCGTCTTCGATGGATTCGACAACTATTAAAATCAAGAAAGAGCCAACTCTGAAAGTGATCGATGTGGTTGGCGATAACGATAACGATGCAGACGAGGACATGAATGAGGATGACGATGAGATGAACGAC